TTGAAATTCCATGTTTATTTATTTATTAATGAATGTTCATAAGCAGTAGATGACCCCTATTATTAATTTCGAAAACTATTTATCACAAAGTCTTCATATTTCAAATACTGATTGGTGATACCTATAAGAGAACCCCTACTGATTTTGGGTCACTAGTTAGTTCTCTAATATCTCATTATCTTGAAAACTATTTATCACAAAGTCTTCATTATTTTTCAGTTTTCCATAATTGAACACTTCCATGTACCCATTTATGGCAAGTTTCTATAATAAAAACCTACCAATTATGTTAGTCAAGGGCTAGAAAGGGGGGAATCAACATACCTGCACAATGCACTATAACCTTATCTTCCTATGTCCTACATTTGCCAATAACACGCACACTTTTCTATATCCCAATCTACCAATGTTCCAAATTTGCCAATATCGACTAGGGATTAAACGATGATCGAGTATAATCGAAAATTGATCGTTTAAGGGCGAGGTCGGCGACAATCGAATGCGAAATTTTATAATCGATTGTCGGTAGTTTTTTTTCTTGCTGTTACTTAAGCGGCTCACAAGGGAGATCACTGTATCGGAAAAAAATGGCGTCGGACTCGCAGCATGCAATAGAAAACATATCGCAAGAAAACCTAACAAAAAATATGGAACATGAGGACCAGGTCTTGTTCAATTACCCAGGAAAAACGCGATCCATTGTGTGGAAGTATTTTGGATTCACGAAAAAGGGGCTTGGACCAGCAATAAAAGCGAACTTGAACATGAACACAGCCATCTGTAAACTTTGCAAAAAATCGTACGCTAATAAAGGTAAAATGTTGCGTAAATTAAGTGCAAAGCTATATTTAAATATTGTATTCTTTTAACTATAAAAGGTCAATAATGACCATTTTTGGACCAGACCCCTCGGGTATGCAAACTTTGCATACTTTGAAGAAAAGGAAGAATTTTGACTGTCAACAAAAATACACGTATTATTATAAATATGCGGTCTCACTAAAAAGCGTCATATTCTAAAATGCAAAAAGCAAATTTCAATATGATATTGTTAAGCATCTGTTAATGCCAATTTACCTGAGCTTACAAAAAATTCTTTAGACTGGAATTTGTTTAAGATTAGAAAATGTAAAATTGTGGGCTTTTATAACTACGATTTATAACTCAATCATAATTAAAGGATGTTGGTGTATTTTCTGGTTTGAAATTATGAATAGTGGGTTATTTACGAAAACTGGTCTTCAATCCCACAGGCTTAGGGTATTGATTTAATTCATTTTAAATTCTTAAGTCAACTTTGTATTTTGTATCTTTTTTTTTTAAATAGAATATGAATCCATACATGCAGCCACTGATTGTTTAATCATACCTCCAGCCATACATTATTATGAAGAACTTCAGATGTTTTTAAGTTAAAATAAAATGTACTTATATTTCAAATTTAATTTCTTTCTCTATTTTCAGGAAATACAACAAATTTGCTATTCCATATTGATCACGACCATAAAAGGACTGCTTCTGGGGATGAAAATAATAACATTAAAAAAGCACCCACCCAGCCAACAATTCAGGCTCTGATTGCCAACCCTGGTCGTCTTACACAGAAGAGTAGAACCAACTTAGACGAATGCATTATTAAAGTTAATTGTAGGAAAAGCCCTTCCAATCAGCCTTGTGAAAAATCCACACTTCATTGAATTTACCAAATTACTAGACCCAAGGTAACTTTATCTAATAGCAATTTTAAAAAATTAATTGCAGAACAATTTATACTTACAAGTTATTCAATTTAATTTACAAATGAACATTTAAATGAAATACAGTGGGCCTGAATGAGATTCACTTTTTGAGGTTTTGAATAAAATGGAAAACAGAAATGATGTAACTAGTTTTTGTTATATAGAAGGTAGTGGAAATGCAAGATACCTTTTTGCAAATTGAAAGCTTAAGTTGTTAATCAATGATCATTAATTATTAGGTAGTAATTAATTGGATTTCTCATGTACTTCTACTTTCCAAGGTCTGGCTATTTTCAACTGCTGTTACCAATTCACAGAATGTGAAGGCTGTAAATTTAATTTAACAAAAATATCCTGTTTTATTTTCAAGGTACAAGTTACCGTCTCAGCAAGATGTTGTGAAGTCTTTAAACACGAAGAAAGACCAGATGCGTTCAACCCTTAAGCTTGACCTTGGATCTGTATCAGATGTAGCCATAACACACGACGGCTGGACAAGCTGTGCCACAGAGAGCTATTCAGCTGTAACAGCACACTTTATTGATGATAAGTGGAATCTAAAATCAGCCGTGCTGCAGACTAAGAAGGTGGAAGGTTCACACACTTCAGAGAAAATAGCTGAAGGTTTAAAAGGTAGTACTTCTTCTAATTCTTTATAAATCACCTTCATTTTGTATTGACTGAATATTGCAGCTGCCATGAAGCCTATGATATTATTTTTCATTTACTCTCCTGTTACAAGTTAAAAGTGCAATAAAAACATTTAATTTCCCTGTTTTTCCCAAGAAAACGGATAAATATTTTTGTCCAAAATTGAAAGAAGGGCAAGTCCATTTTAAATATTTAGTTGTTGAGTATAATAATGCTTAAAAGTTTGTAGTCTGATAATTTAATTTCCTTTAAGTTTGAATATAACTATACAATTAAGGTTATTCAATTATAAAAAAAAATGAATGAAAAACAAAAACGTCTTGAATTTTGAATTAGAAATTTTCTGAATGTATTAACTGAGGGAGGTTATTTGATTATTTTTTTGTAGAAGTACAGACGGAGTGGAAACTACCAACATCACTTACATTAGTAACTGATAATGCTGCTAACGAACGAAAGGCTGCTGAACTCCTTGGATGGACACGATTCGGGTGCTACGGTCACCGTATTAACTTAGTGGTCAAACATGCTCTTGAGGTAACTGAGTTGAACAAGATTTTGGGTAAATCAAGACGACTTGTAACATTTTTTCATCAATCAACAAGCGCCACTGATGCTTTAATTGAAAAACAAAAGTTAGTGTTTTCAAACACACCAGGTTTGATTGGACATAAACTGATAACTGACGTTCCTACACGTTGGAATAGTACACTGGCAATGCTTGCAGATTGGCAGAACAACTTCCTGCTATAATGAGTATTATCTTTGATACAAATTGTCTAAACAAAACTGCAATAAGCACTGTAAAAACCTACTGTCTAACATCTGAAGAACATTCTGTGGTGCAGGAACTCATTTCTGTTTTTAAAACCCTTTGAAACCGCAACAACAATTTTGTGTGCAGAATCTAGTCCTACTATGCATAAAGTGCTTCCTTGTATGGTAAAAATCAAAAAGAAGTTAGAAGATGTTGAGAGTAATCCCTTAACATCTCCTGTTGTTAAGAAAGTTATTTAAAAAATGAAAGAGGAACTGTTAAAAAGGACTCAGGTGGAGGATGTACCCCTCCTGGCAGCTCTATTAAATCCAGATACGAAGAATCTCAATTTCTTGACAGCGGAGGAACAAGTGTCTGCCCGTCAGCTGCTAATGGACACTGCGTTAAATTTAAAGGTTGATAATGCTGCCCTTCCAAATGTTAAAGTAAAACAAGAAGAGGCTGTTAGTGCCAATTTACCTGACTTACCAGTGTTACCTGACTTAGACCTAGAGTCTGACCAGAATGTTAAATTTGAATGTGAAAAGGAGGGTCCTAGTGAAAAGAAAATGAAATTAACTGATATGGATGAGTGGTTCGACGATGTATGCTTCATAGGAGAGTCGCAACAACCCCTTCAGAACTTAATAGAGTTGGAGGTTCATAGATATTTTTCACACAATCAACCACAGAGTTCAAAGCAGCAGACGCTTCTGCAGTGGTGGCAAGCTAATCATTATTTCTATCCACAACTTGCAACTTTAGCCAAAAAGTACTTGGCAGTTCCAGCATCATCAGTACCAAGTGAGAGGGTGTTCAGCTTAGCTGGTATTGTTGTTGACAAAAAACGATCTAGATTAAAGCCAGATTTGGTTGATACGTTAATTTTTATGAAGATGAACATGGAAACATACTGGTGACCATAGTGTTAAAATCAGTTAATAGCTGTCATTAACTTGACAACAAAACATTAAAGTTTAAGTTTTAACTAGTTTAAAGTTTCAGTAATGTGTTAATGTTAAATACTTATGAACTTCCAACTTTAAGCAAGTTTTGAACAGTGTAATGCATTACCTTTGTTAGATGTAATATGCTCAAATTTAATGTAGAAATATAAACAATTGCTGCACAGTCTCTTTGTTAACATAAACAAGTTTTGAGAATACTTAAGAAGTTAAGAATAAGGTAGAAACTGTAGATATAATTTATTTGTCATATACATCTTGTATATAATCATAATACATGTTAAAACATAAAATTAATCATAAAAACATGTGTAAAAAATGAGGGTGGTAGGGTATCATTTTTGAGAAGAAACAATCATTTTGATGAAAATTATTGCTTGGTAACTAGTGGTTACAAATTATAAATGTTGATATTATTTGTGTTTCTTAGCAAAATACTTCAGTAAATGAGTGTATTTTTGCACTATATATAAAATATTAATACAGTAATATATAATAGAAAATTTAATATTATAAATAAAACTCTTCTTTATTAAACCATGTTGTTTTGTTATTGTAAATGGTTTCGATTATATAATCGATGATTGATCGAAAAGGGCTGACCGATTATTACCGATGATCGATTATGATTTTTGTCCGATTATGAAACCCTAATATCGACTCTTCAACTCCACAAAGCCAAACCTAAAAAGGGGGAAAAGAACAATAATGAAGGCAAACAATGATAAATAAAGGGACTGTCACAGGAACACAACACTACACATGCCTACTACCAGTATTTGATGCAATTACTTTTCAACCTAAAAAGATAAGCATATACCTTGCTTAAAGGCTTTTGTGTTTCCAGACATGCTTATTTACAATAAACTTTGCTGCCCAAAATTTGTAAAAAATAGAAACTTAAGATTTTACATTTATTGTTTCGAGCAACCATCAACTATATCTTTAACAGACCGTTGGATGTTTTTTATGCACACCAAATTTTCTTTCTTCAACTTTAAATTTTTTTAGAAAAACAAATGCACATAAAAAATTCAGTAACAATTTCTTGCCAAATATTAAGGCAAATGCATAATTTCTTTTTTTTTAATAAGAAAAAGTATTCATCAACAACAAAAGCACACACATGCACAAGCACTACAAATGTTGATAGCAGCTCCAACCAAACCCATGATTTCCACAAAGAAAACAAATTACTTACATGAACACTTCGCTATATCTGTGCCTCCCAACGCCTTAGTTGTGCCAATACCAATACTTGAACTCCATAAACACATCTACACTTAACTTTTAAACTTCACAAGCACATAATGCCTAAAAAAGGATAAAACAATCTATTAAATCTTAACCACTCAAACGTCCTTTATATAAAATAACATGTGTCTATTTTCAACCCAACTTTTGTAACATTTTCCTTTAATCAAGGAAAAAGCATTTCCCCACAATAGTATGCATGGCAAATCAAATTGAAATAATTTCTTCTTCCACAAATATGAAGGTAAATACCATTTTCACATGTTTAAATCTGATTTCAGGTTCCCCCCTTTTCTAATTTATTGCCCTATCTTTTCCCCTACAAAAAGTCACAGGCACTCCATGCGCCGATGTCACTGACTATACTGCTACCGACTGAAGATAATTATTTATTTTTCCCAAAAAAATCTGCTCCCTCTAGCATTAGTTCTTAAATAAATTCTTAACCAAAATGTCAAATGTTTAACAAATAGTTTTGTTCTTTTCATTAAATAGGAACAAAAAAATATACCCAAAAACTAATAAGGAAATGCAACTCTAGCATAAAAGGGAAGTAATTTGGGCTTCTCATTAGGAATTTGTCATGACAGTTCATAGTGTGCACAATTCTGTTGCAGTGGTTTTCCCCTATACAACTGATACTGGTAAAAAGGCAACGCTCCCAATAGAAAATAGACAAGTAATTCCCAATCCATGACCGATAAATCCCCAGTACAACACTGAAAAATTCCCTCAAAAGAATCATCAAATTTGAAGGTGGACATAAACAGAAATACCATTGTTAAGCGATACTGTATGCAATAAAAACCAAGTATATATAACCACATGAGTGATATTTCCTGAAACATTAATTTTTCCTATTGAACTAAATCAAATAAAATATTATTATGGTTTAAAATATTAACTTTCTGAGTTTTATCAAGGATAACCCACCAATTGCAGCCAAAAATAACCAAAAAAAAATGCCGGAAACTGCAAGCAAAATCTCAACAATGAGGTTGCCATTTTTTTCTTAGCTATATCCTGTACTGAACGGTACTATTTCTGCAAATCAGTTGCTAACAAAATATTGCCATTTTCTTGGTTATTTTTATGAAAGTAATATATTTTGCATTGAAAATGACTTGTATGGAGTTGAAGTGTGTCACAGATACACTATTACACCTATAGTATGCCGCATTAAATTTCATACAATAATGGAAGTATAAAAACCATTCACCACCATACATAATGAGATGTTACACCACAAAGTTTTTTTTGCATGATGATAAAGTTTTTCAGGGGAAAAAAGATATATTATAGAATTATTAACCTCATAATTTTCCCCAAATCGACATTTTTCACATATCTTTCCCCTCCCTACCAGCACCCAGCATCTTCCCCTTTCCGTAAAAAAAACCCCCTGAATTGTAAAAGAAATAAATTTGTACTGTGCATCAAAACAAGTTTGTTGACATTGATTTCCCATGTGCATAATTAGATCAAATGTGTATTAACTGTGAAGAAAGCAATGCATTCCTTGCATATATTTATAGCATACAGGGGTACATTTGTCGTAAATTCAGAATTATTTCCTTATAGAATGCCAATTTCCTTAGCCCACTTCATCTGCTCTTTGCAGGACGTACCTGTTCAAACTGCATTGGCCGCCAAGGAACAAACAGTGTAAACAACAATTACATTTATTTCCATAAAGATTCAATTTAAAGATAACTATTCAACATCTATTGTCTCAACTTGAACATCTCTTCTTAACAAAGATAATTTCAAGGAACAGTGCAAAAAACAAGTACCATTATTGTCATAAAAATTCTAGTTAAAGACCAATATTCAACATTTATTGTCGCAACATCTCTTCCTAACAAAGATTATTTCAAACAACACGTACGTGTTCACTGCCAACTTTTTCAATTTCTGTTGGCCATGCGATTATACCTTTGAATACTTCTATAGTAATACACTCCTAAATTTTTTTCATAACAATGTTAACAATCCATACCGAAATAGGTTTCTAATAGAAGGCCGAGTTGATCCTTTGCGGCAAAAAAAACCACAAAGGCCATGAAAATCACAGGCGAATAAACCTTGAATATTTATAATGACCATGTCAACATTCAGGCACCTTACCATGTCCGCCACACATGCCAGTACTTAGAGTAGAGAAAATTACTAAATCGACAAAAAACCACCGTTCCAACAAAAATTAGGCCTGAGAGAAAGTGCTACCATGGATTTATATGAATTTTGGTGGTTTCGTCAAACTACTGTTTCGGCGGACTAACATTATGAAAAGGTGCGAAAGAGGTTTCGTCAATCTTATTTTATAATTAAAGGCATAGTAGGCATGGTTCATGTATATAAAGTGGTTTTATCATCAATATGTTTGTTGTAATCAAATTATGACACAAAATTTCATTAATGAATAGAATACATTGAAGAAGTATGTCTATTTATTATACCTATTTTGATAATGATTTGTTCGTTATTGGATTAATTCAGTAAGTTTTGAGAAAAAAAATATTTAAAAAAAAAAAACATTAAAGCTTCATTTGACGCCTGGTTGATGTAATGACTACTTCCCAACTACTGAGATTATGCACCCACAATCCAATAACTTCAACGACAGGATTTATGAGGACAGTTTTTAGGTTTTATATTGAGTGATGAATAAAGAATGAAAAAAGATTGTTGTTGTTTATTATGTAAAAAAAAACATAGTAGATTCTCTTTAATACTATGCCTGTATCAATTGTTTATATAGACTCTATATAAACAATTGATACAGGCATAGCTTAAGGTCTTCAGCGTACCAGTTTATATACTATGACATGCCGCATCAGATGAAAAACAAAAATGTTAAAGAGCGGCTTATAAAGTTTTGGAAGCCAGAACTAATACAGGCATAGTATTAAAGAGAATCTACTATGTTTTTTTTTACACTCTATATAAACAATTGATACAGGCATTTTTTTACATAATAAACAACAACAATCTTTTTATCAAGTGACAGTAACCAATTATTTTCCTTTCTGTTTATGTCATATAACAAAGAGTCCAAGTTCAAAAGAAATATCTTTATATTTTCCCTGGTATTGTGATTTCCTATGCCATAAGCCTGATAGGCATTTTCACCAGCCACATGACCGTCAAACATTCCAGAAGAAAAGAAAAAATTACAAAATCGACTAAAAACCAACGTTCAAACAACCATATGACCGATAGAAGGCGATACCACGGATTTATATAATTTGCCCGTGGCGCTACGTAGGCTAAATGCACAAACTATTTACTACTTTTAATCACTTTATGAAAAATATACAACCTTCACAGCAGACAACAATATAAAACATAAGCAAATAGAACAAAGACAGATATATACAAACAATAACAAACCAACCATTTCTTCCCGCCAAAAAGTCCTTTGTTCTGCAAGCCAGCTTGTAATTAGGTCACCTAGACATTCTAAATCATAGCTAACACGAACTGACAATGGGAAATCAAGCAGATCATTAAATAAACACTAATCTACAATATAAATAAAGCATAAAAAATCAATACTTACAGTTTAAACTTGCTAGTACATTTAAATTATCGCTCTGAAATAAACCCTCTCTCTTCCTTAATGGCTGCCTGTTTGTTGATGTTTTTTCATTGGCTTACATTGTCACGTGATCAAATCAACATAGGTGTGGACTAAGTTATTTCCATTGCAGTTCTGACTTTAATTGTTTTAATCACAATTTAATCCCCGAAAAAATATGTTGAAACAATTCCAGAATTAACACAAATCTTAAAATTACCGAAAACATTAAATGTTATATAAATTGTAAATAAAGGTTTTACATTTCACCCCTAAATAAAACATAATGGACTCAACCAAAAACAAGCGTCTCTCTCTTTATTTAATGATGTATTTACATGACCATGATCAACACATAAATCCCAGACCAATTGTAAGACGAAACTATTGTAAAAATCAAAGTACTGAAAGTACTGGGGTATTCATTGTGTTTACAGATCTGACGGAACTGATAGTAAATGAAAACTATTTTAAGCTAATTGCGAGCTGGATCAACCTCAGTCAACCCTGGAAGTCTGTCGTTCAGCAATGTTTTCTAAACCTGATTGGCTTGTAGGTTCAAATTACAATAACAAATCATTCAATAAATAACTTTATTAACAAAAAACAAGAGAACTAAACTTTATAGAACTGAAACAAATAAATATATATACAACACTTTAAAAAAATGTTATCGATAAAATTATTAATGAAATGGTTTTAGAAAATGTCATCAGGCCTTTGGTTTTCATCAGGCCTTGTATTTTATCAACTGATTCTTTTTATTATTTGACTTATTTAACAAAAGTATCTGCAGTTTTTGACATTTCAAAGCAGTAATTACTTAAAACTGTGTGTATATACAGAAAACAGGAATAAAATTGTATCATACGCATTTTAACAGCAACATAAATAGAATTCTTAAATTAAACAAAATTTACATCTTTATGACAGCTTATCTTGTTTACCCTAGGTCAGAGTGGTAATTATACAGTAAATACTTATTGCTGAATATTCATTAAGCATATCACTCTAAAACAAGCAATATTCTGTCTTTCCAATTATTATATAGACTGATTGGTAATCGGTTTAAACAAATCTTAAACAAGATAAACCAACAATAAAAACTACACTGTTATATTCAAAACAAAGCTAATTATTAAGACAAACAAATATGAAATCAATGCTATTATAATCATTACTTTAATTGTTTTGAAGATGAAATATATATACAAAACAAGAGCGATCAGTAATCACATGTGTCACCTCATGAAGGCAAATTTCATGTTGGGACAAATTTTGTGACAGACAGACAGACGGACAGTGCACAACTAGACTTGGTACTGATCATTCCTGTAAAGTTTGGATAAAATTGCACCAGAAGTTTATGAGTAGTAGTCCGGACAAGCTTTTGCGTATCTGGCAACACACAGAAAAAAACACCTTTTTATCAAAGGGCCATAACTCGGCCAAAAATCATTCAACCGGAAAACCCGTGCAATATGCACAAGGACTTGAGCTACAGATCAATCCTGTAAAGTTTCATTGAAATTGCATGATTGGTATAAGAAAAGTAGTCCGGACAAACTTTAAAAATAAAAATTATTAAAGGACCATAACTCTGACAAAAATCATTGAACCGGAAAATGCTGACAATATGCACAACTAGACTTGGTACTGATCATTCCTGTAAAGTTTGGATGGAATTGCACCAGTAGTTTATGAGAAGTAGTCCGGACAAGCTTTTGTGTATCTGGCAACACACAGAAAAAGAAACCTTTTTATCAAAGGGCCATAACTCGGCCAAAAATCATTCAACCGGAAAACCC